CTTAATTAATATTTCCAAAGCAGCACTTTTACTTGTAACAGAGTAATGTGCTCATAAAAGATCGGAGTATTTCTTCCACCATAGATACTGAAGTTGTGTCTCTGCATGGAAATGATGTTTTAATGTTTTCCGCACATTCCAAACATTATGGACATGATTTGTTAAAGGTCATCGTTAGGTTATATTAATGTGTAGGTTTACCTATTAAACAATGATCAGGTTTTGAACAATTAGTTTGAAAATCAAAAAACCGGAAGCCCTCAGGTGACACCTGTACATTTTTTTCCTGTTTGGACAGTGACTTTCGCTCGAGGAGTTTATCGACGTTTGCGTTTAACTTATGTAGGTTCTCCTGAGAGTTTAGTTTAATGCAAACAGGTTCAACGAATTATAACAACCAAGAAGCTTTTCGACATATTATATCAGAAAGGACGACAGTTAAACTGTTTATAGGCTACGTGCGTCAAAAGTGAAAGTAACACCAGAATTCCTGTTTTTCTAAAATGGCCCTTCGGTTATTCGTGTCCTATTTTATCTTCACCTCTGGTCTAGGTGAGTTTTGTCAGCGGATTATGGCTGTGCTGATTTTTGTTTCACACTTTTGTGTCGACATGAGGTGCAGTCATTGCAGACCTGCCATGAAAATCTAATGATTCATTTAAAGTAGGCCTATTTCAGTCCGTATTTCTGTCTGTAGTAGGCATTCATTAATACTGACCTTTCTGACTGTTTAATTTATAGCCTTTCTCACTCTCAGTAAAGTAATAGGAGTCTGTGTGTGTGTGTATTATCTGTAAACTATTTACCTTTAATTTAAAGACTATTATTGACTTTGACATTACACCTGTACTATCTAACAAAACAACAACCTGCCATTATCCCACCATGTCTTTTCTAAGCTGTCATTTTTGTTTCACACTATAAACTATCAACTACTGTCAGAGAGATATAATGTGGTAAATATTGATGATGTAGTGTGTGTACTGTTATTATGGACTGAAGTACACTGAAAGGTTTGACATAATACAGTTGACTTATGATCTGTTCGGTAGCCTTTTATGGAGTTTTCAACTGCATTTCATGGTCTTCATCAGTAGATGGAGTTTGTTCAGCTGACATAGAAATGGCTCAGTTAGGGAAAACCCAACGATACGTCAATTTGATGACACTTAAAGATATTCAGTTTATCACATAATGCAAAGAAAAACAAGAAATTCAGTTTAGAAGCTGGACGATGGGAATGTTTGATAATGTTGATTGAAACATTACAATTAATGGATAAAAACAAAAGTTGTTAACATTATTAGCATTATTGTTATTATTTTATCTTGTTAACATTTTTGCTGAGATGAATTTGTCTACAACTCCAAATTATTTCTAAGGTCAAGAATCAACTTAAATATTTTTCCCACCTCCATTAACTATTACTTCACTAACATACATTAGAGATTCCAAATATTAGAAACAGTTCTCTATGATTCAGTCTACACAACTATGTAACTTACACCTCTGACACAGTGTTAGACTTTATAGAACATTGTAGGATTTATTGCATATTTATTTGTATTGGATTACATTGTACTGGTGTATTAAATTGACAACTCAATGTATTGCTGAGCCCTTGTCGATTTACTCTTCAATGTTTAAAATATACTTAACTCTTTCACACATTATGTTTCTATACATTTCTATTCTTTGTGTCTAGTTGCTGGAGAGACTGTGTATAAACTCAAGGGGGAGGAGTTCAACTTTAAACCAAACATCACTGGACACCCTGGTAACATTTTGTGGAAACATAATGGCAACAAAGTGGTAGAGTTTGATGGCAACGAGCAACAGGTGTACAGCACGTATTTAAACAGGATCACCCTTGACTGGCACACTGCTGACCTCACCATCTCTGACCTCAGCTTTGAAGACAGCGGAGACTATGAGTTGGAAGCATTCAAGTCGGGAGGGAATTTGGAGACTTCACATTTTAACTTGGTGGTCATGGGTAAGGTTTCTTTTACTAGCTTTTGTGTGTTTATATCTAGTTAAGCAATCAACATCAGTACCTGCACTCTGTAACTGGAAGTTGATGGGTTGCTATAGCAACTTTTTCGGTGCCCTCCAAGCTTCCAGTTTTAACCAGTTGCAACGCTTATTAACAGTGACAAAGAGGATTGCTGCATACAGAAATTCAGTTCCTGCACAGCCAGCCATGGGTTCCTTTGCTGCGTGTGATCCGCTCTCTCTACCCACTGTCCTGTCTATCTTCAGCTGTCCTATCCAATAAAGGGAGAAAGCCCCAAAAACAATATTAATGAAAACAAAATTAAAATTAAAACACGCTGGGCTAGTGCAAGCTACAGAGGACCCTCGAAGAAAACCTGCCGCAGCTGACAAGAAAACGTTGACATGTCATATTTATCTTCCAGCAGTCTGGTTGAGAATTTGTAGCATTTAGCAACAAAGAATGAGGGGAAGTTGCTGTAGTCAGATGTTCAAGGCTGATACAGAGTCAAGGCTGTTGTGTTGCAAAAGGTG